GTGAGTTATCTTTTTTTAAGTAGTCCCATTTTACAGACAGAAAGAAGAGGTAATGGAAGTTAAAAAGCATGAATCTACCTAACAGTGAAAGAAAAATTGAATGCATTGTTCTCATTTTAATCTTTCTGATCAAAATTATTTGTCTATGCCCCATTATCTCAGAATCACAGTGCCACTAAGAGATTACCCTAGGGCTGGGCATGCTAGCTCACATCTGTAATCCCAGTTACTTAGGAAGCAGAGATCAGGATGATTGCCAACGCAAGGCAAAAACTTAGTGAGACCCCATATCAACAAGTAACTGGTGTGGCAATTCATGCCTGTGATTCCAGCTCAGAGTTCAAACCCCAGTACCATCAAACAAAAGAGCTTACCCTATAAAAATCAATATACTAGCTAAAAAAAAAAAAAAAAAAAGGAAAACATGTGCTTCCCCACCCTGAAGAGCTTCTTATATGAGGCTCTCTGCTAGGAGATTGCCAAATGAATCCTTAAAAATAAGATAATGAACGACAATGGGCTAATGCTATTTTTCCCAAGACAGGGCAACACTGGTTCCAAAATAAGCTCCTTTAAAAAAAAACGGGGGAGAGGGGAGAAAGAAGATTGGAAAATACTGTATCGTATACATCTGATTTAGAGATTTAAGGTGCACATTAGTACATCAAAGGCTCTGGTAAGTTTTACATTATACAAATCTGCTTATCCTTGTTTACCTAATACCTACCCAACTATGATACATTAATGTTCTATTGAATACCCTTTGGGTTAATATGTCACCCCTTACAGAGCTGTACTGTATTTCTTAATAATATCTTTCCAGAAGGAAGTGAATGAAAAGGTGAGGATTTCATCCCTATGGAAACAAATAAGGAAGTTGCTGGCAAATGTTTCTCTTGGCCTTTCTCATGTGTTTTTCATAGAAAGCTGCCTCTTTTGCCTGAGTACAGAATATTATGTTAAAGGAAAGCTCAATTTCTTAACTTCTATTAGCCAATCACAAGTCAATCAAGAACATAACTTTTGGCAAAAGTTATGTTGACTCATTCAGTCTAAAAATAACTCTTGACCATGTGTGCTTTGATCTACATTCTTCTTAGACTCAAACATCTATCTTTAACAATTGGAAGGTGTTACTTGGTTGTAATCATTTCACACTAACACATACTAAACTGTTATGAAAGGAGGTTATACAAACAATCAAAATGCTCACTTCTTTTCAAGCTGTATAGAAATTTTTCCAGTATGGTATGTTTCATCACAATATTTGACAAATGCATACTGGCATTCATACACTTTAAGTTTTACAGATTTAGGAGGAATGGATCCAAAATAATCATTCCAGTCTTTGAGAGAGAAAAATCTATGCTCTAAAGAATGTGTTTAAGATAGCATTTCAACCATAATTCATTCTTCCCAAAAGCAATCTACACGCAAAAGAATTAAAAGTTTTAAACAAATAAATCTTAACTCTTATTTGACTTTGAGAACAATGGTCTGGGAATATGGATTCTATTACTTAATCATAAATTAATGAAGGTTTCTTTTATGAGTATTTCAGCTAGTAAAGAACTGAGCTGTTGCCTTGGTATCACCACAGAATATGTATAGATATTCCTCACTAATCAGTTCAAAATTTCCTTTCCCTTTTGATGAATTCAAATATTGACTATCTGATAGTATCACTTTCAGGAGAGAAGTTCAAATTCAGCTCATAGCCTGTACCATCACTTCCTTCTGCTCAGGAAGAGAGCTGGTGGTTTCTACAAACCTCTGCCCATGAAGTACCAATCTAACCAAATGAACCTCTCACTTGCTGGTTTTATCCCAGGGAGAAAGTGTTTATGTTGTTTCATTTTGTTACTGTTCTTCTGTTACAATATCTAAATCCTTAGAAATTGGCTACTTTTTTTTTTTTCTGTTGGTGCTAGGATACAATAGGCAAGTGCTCTACCACTGCAGGCCACTGCAATGTTTTTTAAAGTTCAGGGGGAAAATCTAGATTAAGAAAACTAACAAACTTGCCACCTCTCACTAGAAAATAAAATAAATATGAACAACTTCATGAAACTTTTCAGTCAAGTAAATGAATTTAAGTTAAATATTATTTCCTAAAGCTGAATTAAAAGTGTTCTTTCAAACTCAAAGAAAGGCACTCATAAGATGAATATAGATAAGACAGTTGCCTCTTTCAAAAGCTATCTGGGCAGCACTAGAATTTGTAAATTTCAATAATCTGTACATTTCCTTCCTTCTTTTCCCACAGTCTTCAATAACCCAGTGCCTCTGACCTAGAATCCCTACTCTCTTCTTGCCTGTGTTCCACAACCATTCTTATTGCTCTACACACCTTATGCTATCCTTAAACTTCCAATTCTCCATTTCCCTGAGGAGGACTATCTTGTGCACCCTTAGAACTTGACTCAGCTTGAGTGTACAGGGTGTACAGGTGCTCAAAAAAAAAAAAACCACTACATGAAATCATTTCTGCTTCAAAATAGGTGTGGACTTTCCTTTTTCATTTCTTAAAATAGTTCAATCTAAAAGAAACTGGAAGGCCATTTTAAAATAGCCATCTTCTTTATCCAAGCCTTTATTAGGTTAATGCACACAAGTACTGCGGAACTTATAGACCGACCAGACTTCTAATTTACTATGAGCCTGAAGATCTCTAGCTTACTTACCCCTCACAAAAGATTTTAGGGTTGGAAATCCCCCATGTAGACGGGTTTTTTTAGTGTTGGTTTCTAACAGTTTATTTCGTTTTCCAAAATGCAATGTTGTAGCCTATTAGTAATGCCTGGACTTAAAGTTTCCTTCATTGAACAAGGAATTATAAAGCACACACTGTACATTTCTAAGTTTGTCTTTTGAACCTCTCTTTCCTTTTTCTGATTTTTGGCAGCATTGGGGTTTGAACTCAGACCCTCATGTTTGCTAGGCAAGCTCTCTTACCGCATGAACTACTCCACCAGCCCCGACTTTGCCTTAGTAAGATGAATTAACTTTATGTACTTTGTGAATATGAGGAATAAAAAATCTTTAATGTAAAACACTGTGTTGCCCCACTATTGATTGATTGATTGATTTCTTGCCAAAATATATGTTGACCATTTTTCCAAAATCTGTATTCAAGCCTACTGTGTGCCCCATCTGAGCTGGGAGCTTGAGACACAACTCCTATCTCTAGAGCTTGTAATGTACAAGAGAGATTTGCAAATCTTGTTGGACTATCCATTCTTTATAACAATATGACTATCATTTTACTACTAAATTTGAAACAAGACAACATAGTTACACATTAGTTGTCAGACACTCTCTTTGAATCAACAATGTAACCAACTCTGACAATCTACACAAAGTAGAACAACTGCACAAGTGGTAGAGTGCCTGCCTAGCAAGCACAAGGCCCTGAGTTCAAACTCCAGTACCGCACACACACAAAGTAGAATAAAAAAGGTTTCTAATTAAGTGGTCAGTAGGGTAATCACACATATTGAGATGAGCTTTAACTGCCTAGGATGTCAGGGCTTCGATTATGTGACTTAGTTGAAAATGAATTGTCTTACTTAATTTTTTTCTTTATTTTCAGTCAACAGCATGAAAACTAATTTTCAGAATTTCCAATTACACATGCTGAATCTTGCAGGAGCACATTGTATTGTTTTCTGGGACCTGATTTTCGCACAGCTATCGTACTCAAAACTTTTTGCTTTATTTGAAGGTAAGAAATGTTTTTCTGAAGTTTATTATTGATCAACTCTTACATTATACTTTTAAAGTATCTCCATTGATCACGTATTTTAATCCCTTCTCAATTTGGTTCTCACGCATCTTAAAAATGATTCTGGGGTCTGGGGACATAGCTCAGTGGTAGAGGCTTGCCTATCCTGCCAGAGGCCCTGGGTTCCATCCCCAGCATGAAGAAATTAAAAAAAAAAAAAAAAGTCTAGCCCTGCATTGAGATTTTTTAGCTTATCATTCTTGTTTTCTTTGTCTTAAAAAAAAAAAACAGCATTCCATGCTGATATCACTACTCAGATTACTTTAGCAGAACCCTTATTATCCAAAGATAAGGCCTAAATCATTTCCAAAAAGCAAAAACATAAGCAAAGAACATTTTAAAATAACTCTTTATTAATACCAAATGTACCACATTTAACATAAGTTAAGGCGTGCCTTAACTTACTCAAAGGGAAGATAAGTATATGGGAACATTATTTGGAATCAAATCCGGTCACAAACTATTCATCTCAAAGTGGTTAAAGCAGAGAACATGGGCTACTTATTTCTTTTCCTTAGAAAGGCCGTGTGAGGTTTCGGAATCTGAATCCTTGTCAGGGCCACTTTTCCACCTTGGCAGGAGGCCCTCGCCACACATCATGACGCCAGATTGACACCCTTAAAATTCCCGAGCGTCCACAGCAACGGATATACCTAATGCTCACAGGTAAGTACGATGGGTACCAGCACCTGCAGCCCCCATTACATCGATCCTCTGGAAATTAGGAAAGAACTGATCAATGACTCTTCCTGACTTCCTCTAAAACCCCGCCTTTTGCACCTTACCTTTCCACACTGCCTGCAGTGAAGGCCGGGACCTTTCCGACGACTCGCACTTATGCCCGGGGGTGGGGAGGATGGTTGACACAGCCGTGACCACGACCGCCGGATTTGCAAGCAGCGGCATTTGTTCGCTGGCTACCCCTGCCCCCACCCCTCATCCTCTCTTGCCTCGTTCACCAAAGGGCGGCCTAAGGGCTTGGGGACATGGCTTGGGGCTGGGGAGGGCAGAGTCGGGCTCCGGACAATTCTGGGTCGGATTCTTTCCCACTTGCAGCCCTCCTTAAACTCCCACCTTCCACCCACACATCGTTTACCAGGAGTGACCCCGGGTGTGAACGGGGTGATTCCCCCACCGCCACCAGTACGACCCTCTGCCGCCCCCCCACCAGAGATTCCCCCCCCACCTCGGCGCTGGCAGGGGGCAGCGCCCTTACCAGGCTCGTGGACCCCGGGGTGGTCAGACAGCTCGATGACCAGGAGTTCCCGGCCCTCGAAGCTGCGCCCCACCGTGTAGATCCTGCTGATGGCGGTACACTGCAGCCACACGGACACCAGCGCCTCGCGCAGCTCCGGGTAGCGATGGTACTCAAAGGAGATGCCGTCCTCCTGCTGCAGGCGCCGGCGCCGCCGCATGCCCGCCGCGGGCGTCCCCGGCTCCTGCGCTCCGGCGCCCAGGAGCCACCCGCAGGCGGCCAGTGTCGCGCACAGCGCCAGCAGCGCGCGGCCTCTGCGCCCGGCCATCGCTACCTCTGCGCCCGCCGAGCCTCCCCGCGCTGGCCGCCTTTTGTCCGCTCAGGCCCGGTGAGCTGGCCTCCTCTCGCCTCACCTTCCCCGGCTCAATGACTGAGTGGCAGCCGCGCGCTGGGCCGCCCAGAGGACAGGGACACAGCAGCGACTTTGCGGGCTGCACTACGCGCCGCCCAGCCCAGGGGAACCGCAGGAGGAACCACTGCGCCGAGGGGCGGGGACGCAGAGCCGCCCCGCGCGTCCCCGCGCGTTCCCGCGGGCCAAGGCTGAACGCTCGCCACCGCGTCCCAGGCCAGAAGGCGTCCCCGGCAGCGCAGGTGAAATGACAGCTGAGGTCAGGCTGACCTTGAGAGACCGTGACCCAGGACACTGGGTGTGGGAAAAATGTCCTTGGATTCTTAGTGGAGCATTTGAAATTAACAGCTACTGCAAGGTAACCAGGGTTTCCATCTTGGTGCGGCAAGAAGCAGAGAATATTCTGCTTCTTGGAAGCAAAAAAAAAAGGAAGAAAAACAAAAGGAAGAAGAAAGAAAAAACCAAATATGAAGTGTTACCAGCCACTTGTCTTCCGTCCCTGATACATCATTGTATCCATAGTCCAAACACAAACACAGGGCTCGCATCTCATTGATAACAAGGTTTGGTTAGAAATTAGGACGTTGTGCTAATTTAAGAAAATTTGTAGATACTGTCTTTAATTGTATTCGTGCTCCATCCTGGATTCTTCCAAAAAAAAAAAAAATCGGAAAAGCCAATGTCCGTTGGCAGCGCCAGTGTCAACACAGGACACACGTGCACACACATGCACATGCGCGCACACACTTACACATAAGCACAACTTAGCCAGTGCGTGAGACAAAGGATTTCCTTGGGCATTAGCATTTAACCCTGTTTTAGAAGGAAAAATGGCGTGATAAATGGCACCTCCATTCCTTTCACAAAGTTATTGTAAAAATATAAAATCATTTGCTGCTTTAAATGCCCACCCTAAGGCAGGATTTATATTCTTGGAGCAACATCTGGAGCAAATGTTATCTGAAATGGTTGCCATTTAAATCTAAGAACAGCACAAATGTGAATAAATAAATAATCCATTGGGTATGGCACCAAGAAGAAAAACTGGATACCAGTTTGGTAATTTTTCATGTTAGACATCTTTTTTCCTAAGCTTCTTCATTCTCCACCTGTCTCGTAATGCATTGCATTGAGTATAAGCTTTTTTTTTTTTTTAATGGTATTGGGGTTTGAACTCCAGACCTCACACTTTCTAGACAGGCACTCTATCACTGAGCCACTCTGCCAGCCTGAATACAAACTTTTTAAAATAAATTATTTTATTGGATAAAAAAATAGAAGCACAAAGCCAGGTGTGGTAGACACATTATAATTCCAGCACTCAGGAGACTGAGGCAGAAGGATAGTCAAGTTCAATGCCAATCTGAACTACATAGTGAGACCCTGTCACTAAGCAAATAAGTAAATAAATACACCACAGACATGCCTGGAAGGTGCTACTGGAGAGGCTAGCTTCAAGTCTACAATTCCCATAGTAGCATAGATAGTTTGGGGATGGGGGGTGAGTAGGGGGAGCTTCCAGTTCACAATGGCACTGTAAACATGCCACTTGGATCCAGCCATTTTTCATGAAAGGAAGGCAGAGCTATCCCCAGCCTGTGTTGGATTACTCAGTCCAGAAGTCTGAAAGCAGAGTTATAATTACGCTTCTAAAATCATGCCCCAAAGAGCAACCTTGGAAACCTAGAAAAAGAAAATAGAGTAGCTAAAACCAATAACTTCAAAAGTGTAAGTTTAGGATTTTCATGTTAGCAATTTAAAGTAACCACACAAATTTGTGGCAAGGTGGGGCATGCTAACTAGTGACTACACACATAACAACACACTTTCATTGAGGCCTTGCTCTGCTCCTTGGCTATTCACTTTAAACAAAGGCTATTTTTTCTACTTTCTCCAAAATCTCAATTTTATGGAGTTGTGTGTGTGTATGTATGCACGTGGTGTGTGTTTTACTTTTTTAAAAAAAAAAATAGGATTATAACAGCTATTTGATCTCACTTGAGAGAATATCTTTATATATTAGATAATTGCTTACCTAATCAATAAAATAAGAAGTTTGGATTAAATTATTTGACCCCTAACATTTGAGTGAAACAAAATCATCTGGATAATTTATAAAATGTGCTGATTTTCAAGCTTTGGGTCTATAGTGAGTTTCGAGTATCAACAAGATTCTAGGTTTTATAAGAAAACCAGCTATTTCTGATTTTGATGTTTGATTGGCAAACATATTTTGAGAAATAAAAAACTCTACATACATTTTAGTTCTAAAATGCTATGATTTTAGAAGTTTTCCTCTTGAAATAAACTCCTACAAACCTGGCAATGGTAGTCCTCCTCCTGTATTATCTAGCATACCACATAACCAAGGCATCGGTTCAAAGGAACTCAAACTTGGTCTTTCCATTTCTGAGCGATTTTAGGTGTAGGCCAGCTGTATCAACTTTACAGGAGCATCTATTACTTCTTTGTAACTTCAATTATGCAGCTATCCATCTTGATTGTGGAATAAGAAAAAGTCTTGCAAGCCAAGTCTTCAATGTATTTGTGTACCATAATTAAATCCAGTATGCAGAGCTCATTTTAAACTGCATGCATATACAAGAAAGACATTGAGAGAAAAAGACAGAACATTTTTTTATGTCAGTTCTGAACATCTGCCTAAGCTCCCACAGCCCTCACTCTGTCAGCTTCATCTCTATTGTCAAATCCAGAAATTGACAGTGCCCAGGCAAGCACAAAGCACTGAGTTCTAATCCCAGCACCACCAAAAAAAAAAAAAAAGATTATACAACTCCAGAAATTACCTTTTCCCATAGCCATAACTTTTACTCTTTTCTCCCAAGCCCTGTATAAAAGTATCTACCCCACAACACCTCTGGGCACACATAGCTCAGTTCAACATCCATCCAGTTGTGTGTTGGTAAGTGGTTAGTACTCAGCTCTCTAGTGAAAAAAGCTTGATTTACAGTGTTTGCTGATTTCCTCCAAGACTGATTTCAAATTGCTCAAGTTACATCATGGAACACAGTGTTGGGAAGAGATAAAGAGTAGCAAGGCACACTACATCTGTGCTGATGGGAATGACATCTTTTTATCCCTCTTTTTCAAATGATGGAGCCTAATTTCTTTCTGTTGTAGCATAAGCAAGACAGTGGCTCACTATGAACATGACATAGCAAAATGATGAGATGTGAGCTGGAGATGTAGCTCAATGGTAAAGTGCTTGCCTGGCATGTGCTAGGTCCTAGGTTTGATCCCTAGCACTTGAAAAAAATAATAAGAAATAACAGGATGTATCTTCCAAAATTAAGTTATAGAAAGACCACAGTTTCTAGCTGAATTGTTCTCTTGTTCTCTCTCTCTCTCTCTGTCTCTCTCTCTCTCTCTCTCTCTCTCTCACACACACACACACACACACACACACACACACACACACATTTTCTCCACACCCCTATTACTTCTCAGGAAGTCAGCATCCATGTTTGTAGAGAGGCCCACATAGCGAGGAATCAGGTGTATTAGTCAACTTTCTATCAGTATGACAAAACGCCTGAGATGAACAACTTAAAGAGGACAATTTTATCTTGGCTCACAGTTTCAAAGGGTCAGTCCAAGGTCAGCTGACTCCATTGCTTTGGGCCTATGGTAAGGTGGGAACTTCAGAAGCTGCCACCTCATGGCATCCAGGAAGCAGGGAGAGGGAGAAGTAGAGACTAGTGTTACCCCTCCTATTTGGCTATGAACTCATCAGTGGAGGTTAGTGTCCTCATGATTCAATCACCTTTCACACCCCACCCTTGAACACTGCTGCGCTGAGGGAAAAGTCTTTAATACATAGGTATTTGGGGGGATACTTTGTATCCAAAACCATAACACAAGACCTCTAGAAAACAGCCTGAGAGCAACTGACATCTTCAGTCCAATAGTCAGTGAAGAACTGAAGCCTGTCAGCCACCAACCATGTGATTATACCTGAAAGCAGAACCTGAGCCCAGCTGAGTATTGAGAAGATTCCGTCTCTGACATGTCTAAGGTTCATGAGAATTTCCTTAGAAACTCTTATCTGTAACCACCACCCAGAGATCCCAACTTCCTAGTCCACAGAAACTGTTAGGTAATAAATTGTTTTGAGCTGTGAGATTTGGGGGTAATTTGTATGCAATAATAAGTAACTAACCCATATAGCATCTCCCCCACTGATGCAATAGACATAAATAACCTCAACCATATAGAATGTTGTCACAATGTGACAGAATAAGAAGTCCTAGTCTTTATTCTCCTACAGAAATAAAGACTTTAAGTCCAGAATCAATTTAGGAAGTTGTAGTACCCAAACAAGCACAAAATGAGGGTCAACCACACTGAAGCAGTGTGAAGAGCTGTTTCACTTTGCTTACATCAGCCCCTATGTCAAGCTGGCATAGCTCAGCACCCAGAGAGATTGTGATGCCTCCCTGGGATAGAGGAGAGAGAATGCAGCCTTTCAATACCTGCCCTGGATGCCAGCTTCTGTCTTTCCTCACACAAGGTTGTGTGAACTTTATAGGAGCTTAAAGTGTGAATGGGGAAAGAAGTGGCACAGACCAGATGCTTGAGAAAGCTGGGGGATGGGCACCTTCTTATGTCTGGCAAAGCTCACAGAATAGAGCTTCCTTCTCCAAGAGAAAGGAGGAGTATGTCATGCCTGCAATGTCCCCAGACTTTCAGTGGACTCCCTAAGGTGCCAGTTCCTATGTCACCTTTTGTGGCACAATAACAAAACTGACATAATCAGACACTTGATTGAGCGAGAAGTTACTGACTTTGGGGAAAAAAATTGAATTCCTAGAGTAGCTGGAAACAAAAACCTAGAATCTTTACCCTGAATGACTAGTGAAAGTCTTTTCCAGTCAACGCAAGCCCTTAAAGATGACGTGTTTTTTTTTGTTTTGTTTTGTTTTGTTTTTTAGTACTGGAGTTTAGACTCTGAGGTGAACTTGCTGGGCAGGCACTCTGTCACTTGAGCCACACCTCCAGCCTATATTGACTACTACTTCTTCAAATATGCAGACATCAATGCAAAGATGTAAGGAATACAAAGGTTCATGGAACAAAAGACAATCAAAATAAAATAAATATCCAGTAACTGACTCTAAAGGAGTAGAGATTTATGA